GTAGTACAATACTGTTCACCTGATGCTCATGAGGGTCTGGTACCACAGTGTGTTCCAACACTGCTTTTATGCAGACAGAGGGGGTTGTAAGTAATCCAGAAACGTTGGGACACCTGTAGGAATTAGTAGCACCAGCTTTCAAGGCTGATTCAGCTTTAAATTGTTAACCCACGGTGTGTTCCCTGAAAATGGCCTTCTTGTATAATTCTGAAATGTACATTATTTTTCGGTTTTGGGTAACCAAACCTTTTTTTTTTTAACCTCTGGCTCTTCAGTACTTACCTATGTACCATAATTCAAGCTATTCATTCAAGCTATTCATTGGGCTTACACAACTTGAATTGCAATAAACGACTGGAAAAATTGGGGTGTTCTAAAACCTTTGACCGGTAGTGTATTTTTTTCCTACATTTTTCACACTGTCATTTCAATATTCAATACTCACATAATTGATTAAGTATTTCGAACTAATTTAAGCTTATGAATGCCAATGTTTATTATGGAAATCCTAGCTCATTAATGTTCAAAATGACGGTCCAGGTTCTGACATATATCCGCTTGTTTGTCTGTCCCCAGACGATGCTCATGCCGGAGAAATTAAAAAGTCCCACAAGACTGTGAGGAGAAGACAAAAAGAGACAGCTAACTACCAGAAACAGGAGGAGGCGACAAAAAGGCAATGGGATATGCAACGGAGCTCAGTGTCTTCCCACTCAAGTGGTGATGAGGTACTAGCCTACACTAGCAGTTATAGCTGTACTGGAGCGGGGATTCCCAAAAGTGTGGTGAACTACCACTAGGTGGTGCGCGAGATTAAAAACAAATGGTGATGATGGCGGTTTAAGTGTTTTTTTTTTAAATGGCATTATCCCGCACAATAGAGATTGTTAATAAACGTGTCCCAAGTAACATTTTCCCTCGTAAAATTAATCATTTAATAAAAATTTAAACAAAAAAAAATAACACAGCGGATATCTAAATTAATAAAATAAAATAAAATTGCATTACAGCATATTTGATATATTTTACCTCATTTGAGAAAAATGATCAACACCTGGTTAATCAAAAATTAAAATAAGCATAAAAAATGTATGGGGAAAAAACAATGGTTTGGGTGCTTCAGGAAAATAAAACCTGTCTTCTATTTGACTTTATGTCACCAATATTGCGTTAAAGACAAAAATTTAATTTGTGAAGAAAGACAACGAAAACGAAAACGTAGTCATCTCAGTGTCTCTATCTTTCAGGGGGAGGAGTCTGTTGTGATAGGTCTTGCCCCTCCACCTGAGATTTTGGGTAATCCACATAGTCAAGCCACATCCACCAACCCAGATAACAACGAGGTGGAAGGAGACCCCAAGAGTGGGAACACATGCAACGCCCTGTCAGGTAAATGGCGCACATTGAAATTGTTCTCCCACTTTTTTTTTTTTTTTTTTTTTTTGTAAAGGTAAACAGTATAACCAAGAATAATGAGCTATGTGTTTATGTTTTAAATAAAAACAAACCAAAATATATATTTTGATGGAGAAAAATTGTATGAGAAGAACTTATATATAATGTATTTTACTACATATAATACACATTTATATATATATATATGTATATATATATGTCTGTATGTATGTATCTATGTATATACAGTATACATATGTATGTATATGTATGTATATACCCAGTGGTTGAAATAATATATTTAATATATTTTATTTAGTCCTTCTCAGGCGAGATGTATTTTTTTGCTTTGTTTTTCTTTAAAACATACCCATATATCTAATTAATTATGGGGAAAATTATTAAATGTAATATTCGTCATTTTCTCTACATCCCTTTTTTTTATTGACTGTTCTAAGACACGTCTTCATGTCCTTCCTCCTGCACCTGATTTCTGCTCTCACAGGTGCATTCTCAGGTGTGTCCAACATCTTCAGTTTCTGGGGGGAGAGTCGAGGAGGGGGTCAGTACCAGGAGGTGCCCAGCTGTAGCTTGGCCTCTCCACCAGCTCTCAACACGCCCATACACAGGCTGAGCCGCCAGCAGCGCAGCCAGCTGGACACACGCCTGGACCTGCTGCAAAAGCAGCTCAACCGGTATGAGAAAATGGGTTCGGTTGTTCACGCATGTGTTTAACTGCTGTAGCTGTTCTTGGTACTGTGGTCAGTACACAGTAGTAGTATACAGTGCGAAAGCTAATGTTAGCATTGCGACATGAATAGAGCATGCGGTTTTCACAGCAGTTACAATAACACAGTTTCTATGTACATATGTAGCCTTCACCTGAATATTTTTCAGGTCATTCTAATAAAGCCTCCTTGTTGCTACGTACTGTAGCTCCTGGCACATAATGCATATGTACTGGTTAAATACACCTTAGCTTGCTTAATTTACTTAGCCCACTATGGACAGTGATGGAAAATGCAAAATATCAAGAGGTTTTAGTTTAGTGTAGACAATGAAATAGTAACTAAAGTTTAAAAGACATAAAAGGATAAATATTCGCCTCAACACTAAAAACTGCAGATTCTGGGATATTTTATTTAATATCTGGATATTTGTATTTATTTAAAAATAAATCACAAACAGCCCTTTATGGTATATAATCCCACAGTGTGATATCCTGATTGCAGTTGGAAGATTAGATTAGATTAGATTAGATTAGATTAGATTAGATTAGATTAGATTAGATTAGATTAGATTAGATTAGATTAGATTAGATTAGATTAGATTAGATTAGATTAGATTAGATTAGATTAGATTAGATTAGATTAGATTAGATTAGATTAGATTAGATTAGATTAGATTAGATTAGATTAGATTAGATTAGATTAGATTAGATTAGATTAGATTAGATTAGATTAGATTAGATTAGATTAGATTAGATTAGATTAGATTAGATTAGATTAGATTAGATTAGATTAGATTAGATTAGATTAGATTAGATTAGATTAGATTAGATTAGATTAGATTAGATTAGATTAGATTAGATTAGATTAGATTAGATTAGATTAGATTAGATTAGATTAGATTAGATTAGATTAGATTAGATTAGATTAGATTAGATTAGATTAGATTAGATTACCTTAAATCAGATCAGGTTAGGTCAAATAGAATTAAACTAGATTAGATTAGATCAGATCAGATTAGATTACCTTAAATCAGATTAGATTAGTTTATATCAGATCAGATTAGGTTAAATGGAATTAAACTAGATGAGATTAGATTTGATGAAATCTTAGATTAGGTTAGATAAAATGCAAAAACTGAAGGTGAACTATTTGTATGAAGTCATCACAATATTAAATATAAATACATTTTTAAACAACACATAAAAATATATATGTTGATAGATGCTAGATTTTAAATAATCGTATCATGTTTTTTGTCTTTTCACTTTTGTGTGAAGCCATTGGTATATTCATGTTTTTCCAAGTTCATGAAGCTGTCTTGTTTTGTGCAATTCAAAATATTTCCTAACGCAGGAAGTCGTGAATTATTCGTTATCTACTGCACTAAAATACATGGCTTTAACGTGTGTGTGATGGAGAATATTAACAAAAGAAAAACCATGAAAATGTATAAATATATATTGTCCACAGGTTGGAGAGCCGAATGTCCACAGACATTGGAGCCATAATGCAGCTGCTGCAGAGACAGATGGCTCTGGTTCCTCCTGCCTACAGTGCTGTGTCCACACCACCGCAGGTATAAACACAATAAACAATTACAGGCCAACTAGCCAGGATGCCTAGTATAAGCCAGGCATGGGCAAACTAAGGCCCGGGGGGCGGATGCGGCCCGTTCTGCTTTTTATCCGGCCCACCAAACCTTTCCAAATTATATAATTTATTTATATTATCATTACACTTCTGCCTTTCCCCTGCAATCCCTACGTTTCCCCAATAGTTGGTGTAGAAAATGATTTTAGCATTTTAGCATTTTAGCATGACTTTTACATGTCATTTGTCTTAGTTCGCACAAACGCTCCATCTATCTGCTCCTGACTCGCGCCCCCCTGTATTTTAGGACAGTTGTGGCCAAAAAGTTTGCCCACGCCTGGTATAGAGCTATGAGGATCCTCCATAAAATTTTCTCATGTTGACTGAGACAGGAAGGGCAAATTGCCTGTAGCTGTGCAGTATCTAAAAAAAAAACTTTTTTTTTTTACCTTGCCTTTTTTGAGGCATTTCTTATTTTTTTGTAAGACAAACATTTCCTGCCAAAAGTTGATGACTTGGCATTTAGTTTGCAGCACTGGCATTTAAAAGCAGGAATTCACTCTGACTACGTGTCAGTTTTTCTTAATGTCACTTTCCTTCGAAAAACTCCTTCAGTGCCGCAGTAGTGCCTAGGCAGTGATTTTCCACAAATCAGCAGTTGGCAGAGTGTAAAGGTGTCACATTTTTCAGCATTCGGATTGTGATGTTGACACGGGGAATTCTATGTATTTTGCAAAACACTGACATGTTTTCTATACAGGCCTCACCTTACCCTGGGTCTGGACCAGGACTAGGTCCAGGAGAGAGACTGGTTCATCCTGTTACACCTCTGGAGACAGATCCTCTGTCTTCTTTATCTCAGGTGACAAAATAAATATACATATTTTTCTTTGCTGACGTCTCACCTCCTGTTACCGTACATACTCACGTATTAGCCGATTTGCGAAAAGCCGACCCCTGAAAATTGATCCTAATTGTTAACCCAATGGTTATTTTTACAAAAACTCGCATATTAGCCGACCATGTTTTCATTTTTTTCCGTGGTAAAATTTCTTACTCCTGCTGTGTGCATCAACAGAGAATTAGAAAATGATCTTGGTAAACACTGTTTACGTAAAAATTGCGAAGATTTGGCCAATGTTTGTTGCGAAATTCAGAATAGACATGATTTTTTTTTTTGCATCAGTGAAACAGTTTAAATAATTATTGAATTTATTTATAAGTGCAGTGATATATTTTTGACCACACTTTCGACTTAGTGTTTATTATCGGTGATGATGCGATCGATGGGAAATGCTGTCCCAGGTATTTATAAGACGACCCCCGATCTGATCAATTTTTTTGGTGTTTTAAATTTGGCTTATACTGTATGTGAGTATATGCGGTAAATGTTGTGTTAAATACTCAAAATAAACACAACAATAGTTGCTTGGAAGCCCGGGGTCAACATGTGAAGCGGGACCGGGGGCGGGGGGGCGGACCTGCCGTTACCTCCGGGCCTGGAGTCGCTTCAGGTTCTAGTTTAGGGTTGGAGCTAGGCGGTCGTGCAACAATGGCCTCGAGCTTAGGAACGGGGTTAAACATCAGTCCCGAGGTTTGTCACGTGGCTGAAATGGGGCCGGCAAATGGTTCCGCTGCGCCCCGTCTTGATCCTGAATCTCAAAGGAGGCTGTCCCTTCAGGAACCACAGACATCTTTGGACTCCACAAGGACACCACAGAGACATAGCTCTGACCCCGGGGGGAGCTAGAGTCGAGGCGAAGGGCGCAGGGAGCGTGGAAGGGAGGGACGGATAGAGGGGGGAAAAATGAAAGAATGCGATGTTTGATCCTGCACCTCCTCCAGTTTTCACCTGTGATGGCGATCAGGATACTGGACCTCCACAAAAACCCTTTAGGACACTTAACCTCTCAAGTTAGGAACACACGGATTAGACAGTGATTAGTGTGCGTGTGTGTGTGTGTGTCATTCTCCATTCCCTCTCTCTCCCGCCCTCTCTTCTGATGAAACATCTGGAGCTTTCTGAACATCACAACGACCTTTAACCAAAACCACCACCAGAGCTGAGACCGACTCTGCCTCCTACTGAAAAAAAAAAAATCTGCTCCGAACTTCTGCGTTTTCCCTGCTCAGGGTTACGCAGCCTTACGCACACACACACATGCGGGCGCGTGATCGACTGCTGACCTGTAGAAGAATCCCTTTACTGCTGTATCCAGCGTTGGATGGCTTGACAAGAACAAAGAACAATGGACTAAAGGACGGAAAAGGAAGGAAAAAAAAAAAAAAAAAAAAAAAAACAAGTAGCCATTTATGTCTTGCACTGAAAATCTTATCGACCTAACGATTATTCTATACTATATGTACGCGGCGCTTCCAAGAAACTCACAGACTGGTTGGTTATATAGTAGTGTTAGCTGGCCTAACAGGAATCCTGCTGTTCCGTTCTCTCATTGGTTCCTTACCCCTGATGTCCTGCCCCCACCCCCCCCAAAAGGCGGAGCTACCACCCACCACCACCCCGCCCCCTTCCCCAANCCCCGCCCCCTTCCCAAAAGCACACTGGATTGGCTGGTTTGCACCTCAGGGGTGGGAACTGGAGGGTTACAAGCCATGAATTTTCTCATTGCACATATCAGCTGCCCGACAAAGCTCATAATAATGCTGAGGCAGTGTCGCCAATAGGTAAACTGGCAAACTTCACCAGAAACAGTGCACCGAAACGTCTCAAGTGAACATTTCCACAGGCAGTGAGTCCCACCTTATGGAGTTTAGAAAGTGATGAGTTGGGTGTTTTTAATCAAAGAAAGAAAGTTTAATGGTATTACTTTATGTGACTGATCGAAAACGATGGCAAACGTCGGCAGCGACGGGATATCGGCGTGCTTTGATGTCTGTCTCGTGGTCAGAGCTGTGCGTTTGGCGCGAAGTTGTTTGAGTTCCTCACTGATGAATTTGCTACCTCAGATTTCATTGTTCTCTCTCTCTCTCTCTCTCTCTCTCTCTCTCTCTCTCTCTCTCTCTACACCCGGAATGATCTCGCCCTGTACATAAAGGTCTGTCACGTGACCTGACCTGAACACACGAGTTTGCCAGTTTACAATGACCAGCCGAATGCGCCATTATTCTGTGTGCAGTATAATATGCAAACACTGGCAAGCAGAGTTGAGTGAGTGTGACGAAATATTATTATTATTAATATTTGAAATAGTAGTACTAGGGTAGATGTAGTAATATTTTGGTGTGTGTGTGTGTGAGATGCATTCCAGTCCAGAGCTTTGTATATGTGCGTCCGTCCTTGTTATGTCATCCAATCTCCAGAGCATGGTACAGTACATTTGCTTCACACACTGTAGATGACCACTGTATTCTCATACTTTGAAAAAAAAAAAAAACCTAAATTTGTTTCATGGCTTATTCCAAAACAGGAAAATGACACGTTTGGTGTTTGTGTTTTAAATCTAGACAGCACAAATAAATCCCTTTACAGGTGGGTTTAAAAAGACACCCACTCAAATACTTTAAGATGAAGGAAAAAGGACAATAGCGCCCACATGTTTACAGTACATTTGTTTTGCCCCCTTTTTTTTTTTTGTATTTTACACTTAAAACACCTGAAGTCTACTTCAAGTCACCAGCACACTGAGGTAGACGATGATCACGTCAGAACTAGGGATGGCTCGATACAACGTTTTCAGGACCGATACTGCTTGGTTGAACTTGACTACCTTGGATTATCTGCCGATACCCAATAGGCCCACTAGGCCGGATTGAACCGCTTAGTGGGCCTGTTTTGGCCCACGGGCCGTATGTTTGACACCCCCCGGGTTAGACGGTGCTCGACAGTGACACCCACCATGGTGAAGTGTTGGTCCCCACAAGATGACGTGTCCTGAGGGTC